CAACATGATCAGTGCCAGGAGGAGGGGAGGACTGTGGGGTCCTTGGTGCCCCCTGAGTTTGCTTGTTTCTCGCGGGACATTTCATTATCAAACTAGGCCAGTGTTTCTCAACCTTGTCAACTTGAAGATGTCTGGACCTCACCCCCCAGATTCCCCCAGCCAGCGAATGCGGGCGGGGGAACTCTGGGAGTTGAAGTCCAGACATCTTCAAGTTGACAAGGTTGAGAAACACTGGCCTAGTTTGATAATGAAATGTCCCGCGAGAAACAAGCAAACTCAGGGGGCACCAAGGACCCCACAGTCCTCCACTCCTCCTGGCACTGATAATGTTGCCTAGTGCGGTAATTAAACATCTGGAAACAAACCGCCCAGTTGAGAGAGCGCCAATCATCCCTCATTTCAACCCTGAGCTACCAATAATCGCCACTTCTATCAGTGCCGGTGCCCTGGACCGACTCTGTGGAGCGGAGCGTTGGGGGCCAGGCTCCCTTCTGCCCCCAAGGCAGCCTCCAGACCAGCTGTGGTAGGGAGGCTCATGCTTCCACTGCAGCTCGGGAGTCTTCTGCGCCCGGGACCCCCTTTCGACGGGCAATGCTGGGACCTCCACTGGGGACCTGGAGCCGCCCTGCTTCTCTCTCTCTCCGCCTCCGTCCAGAGGTTGGTGAGCTGAGAAAATGTTTTTTTTCTCTCTGGCCTCCGCCTGCCAGCGGCTCCCAACAGCTGGCAATGTTTGGGATGGGATCAGCTGGGAAGGAGAGCCTGCCCGATGTTGGCCCTCGGGGCAAGAACAGGAGGCGGTATGTTTTTTTTTGTTTTTTTGCTGGAAAAGGTGTGCTACCTACACCTCCCCTACACAAGGGCCCCTCCCTCCCTCCCTCCCGCTGGAAGAGCCCTTCCCTCCTTCCTTCCCGGTGAATGGGAGCTGCGAAGGCTGCCCTGCCCTCCCCTCGCCTCCCCTCCCAGCAGCTGGAGGCTGAGCCCAATCCCACAGGCCATTAGTCACAAAGCAGGTCGCCCCGTCTGCAGAAAAAGGTGCTAGGAAGAAGGAGGGAGGCCAGCAGCCGCCGGCAGCCTGCAAGGATTAATGCGGGAAGGTCCAGATCACATTCGGATAACAAACAGGAAAGTCCTCGACTTACGCGGCCACATCTGAGCCGGGCGTTTTAAGTGAGGGGCACCTCGTTTTAGGGCTAAGTGAATCACTGCGGCCGTTAAGTGAGTCATGCGGTCGTTAAGTGAAAGCCCTCTGGGAAGATTGCAAACGGGGGTCACGTGATCCCAGGAGACTTTGGCCCCACTGGGGATTCTTCCCAAAATTTCGGTTGCTTTTATGACGTTACATTAATCATTTATTTATTATTAATAAAATTTATTATTTATTCATTAATAAAATTTATTATTTATTTACTAATAAAATTTATTATTTATTTACTAATAAAATTTATTATTTATTTACTAATAAAATTTATTATTTATTTACTAATAAAATTTATTATTTATTTACTAATAAAATTTATTATTTATTTACTAATAAAATTTATTTATTTACTAATAAAATTTATTATTTATTTATTAATAAAATTTATTATTTATTTATTAATAAAATTTATATGCCCCCAATCCCGAAGGACTCGGGTGGCTAATCATGTTAATTATATCCTATTACAGTGCGTGGCATTGTGTTGTGTTGTTGTATATTGTATCGTACAGGTACTCCTCGACTTACGACTACAATTGAGGGCCCAAATTTTTGTTGCTAAGTGGGACAGCTGGGAAGTGAGTTTTGCCTCACTTTACGGCCTTTGTTGCCACAGTTGTTAAGTGAATCATGGCAGTTGTTAA